ATATCACAGACTGGCTGGGGTAGGTGCAGTGTGCAATGTACATTCTGGGTCCTGCATACAAGGCCAGTCCAGTGTATATCACATGTGGTGTGAGAGTCAACTCTGTACCAAATCACAGCATCAGGGTTTGGATGATGGGGCTCCATGGACTGGGCTGTATCTTTGACACCCCGGATTTATATTATTTCACTACGTACTCAGCTCCAAGAAGTAGCTTCTCATACCCATTTTCCTCTTATGGGCCCCTGAAAGGGGATACATTACAGGAGAGTATCCACTGTTGGACATCTCCTTATATTTGAATTCACCTATAATTTTTGACTTAGCGACAATCTACAAAAGAAAAATGTAGAAATCTGCTCCCTTTTTGTTTCTCTAGGATGTAAAGAGAGTGTTTTTGGTTGGCTGACTTTTTATAAGACAGAGAAGCGTTTTCTTATTTATTTAAAATGTTGAAAACTGAAATTCTGTCCAGTCTAGAAGAGTTTACAATGGCTACAGAATTAGTTAAATTATGACATCATAAGAGGAAAGCAGCTAAGTAGCTGAGGACAGGTGGAATTACATGCATTTTGTTAATACCTATTATACTTCAATGACTGATTTACATTTTGGAGAAAAGGCCTCAACAGGACATGAGAAAAATAAAGTATATGCCTAAACGTTTTCAGGATACAGTCTCAGAGTTGCTTTTGTACACACATTTATTCAAAGACTCTTAAAAATGAAAAAGTACTAGCATTTAATTCACATCATACTTCTGTATTTTTTAAAAATGCCCACAAAACCATAAATTTTAAAGCCAGGAAAGGGAGCATTATGATCATCTAGGGGTTCAACCTTTTTGGCAGGCTTGCCGCAAATTATTTCCATGCCTTTCCCAAGTGCCACACCAAGCCCCTTCCCCTGCCTGATGTGCTGCTCCCAGCCCCATGTTCCCCATCTGATCTGCTGCTCTGCTTTTTGCCCCCTGTGGCAGGACAGTAGGGGTTGTTACTACGCTGAGCCACCCATCTCACTGTGCCCAGCCAAAAAGCACACTTTGGGTGCTTCCCCAGGGGCGCCTACTTCTAGCCCTCCCCCTTCCTGGGGCACACCCGCAAGCCTGTGGTAATGCTGCTGCCACCCAGGCCTTGGTCTCCATTAGGGCTCTGTGCCACCTGGGGTACACAGACCCTGCTGACCTGGGGGGTTGCTTTGCCCACAAGTAATATTTCTGGGTGCTTCTTACAGCTTGAAGCCTCCCAGGGTAATCTTAGGTGTGTCTGAGGTAGTTAATAAACAGCCAAGCTCTTCTGGGAGCAAAAAAGCATCTCACACATACATCCCAATTTCTGGTTAGATTCCAAGTTTTTACTTACATATCAGCTTAGCTACCTGAGGTACAATGCTTGTCCGTGTTTCAAGATGCCTGCTTGAAGACGGAGTACCCCCAAAACCAGGTGACCTGACCTTTAGATAACTTTTCTGAACTCATCACCTGGTTCCAATCAGAAACAAGCCTTATTTGAAGCAGACCAATCCTTTTAAAAGTCATCAGCATCCCCAGGTGGAGGGCCCAGGGCCCTACAGGCATCCTGGCAGGAACCCAGGACAAAGGACCTGGACACAGGAAGGTGGGATGGGAGGAGGTCCTCTCCAGCCCAGTTGCCCAGGTAACTATAATGACCTAACAACACACAGTTAGAAAGCAGCAGGGGGTGAGCAGACTGTCCCACTGAGGGCAGGGAGAGATACCTTCAACCCCTTACTGTGTGATCACCACCTGATCTCTTCCTCTGCTTTCTGCCCTATTGGCTGCCGTGCTGCTTTGTGCCCTCCCTGATCTGCTGGATGCCACACACAGAGGCTGTCCATGCCACTTGTGGGCATGCGACTCCTCCTCTAGAAAAAACACATTTTCACCCAACAATTCCTGAATCAGCCCTAAAACATTTGACCAAGCTACAACATATATTTAGAATAGCCAGTCTAGGCTGAAAGGGGCCGTTTCCCCATCAAGTGACTGAGAATCTACCACCTCCCTAACTAAGCCATTCCAGCACTTTGTCGAGTCGTAGAAAAAAGGGCTGGAAGGGACCTCAGGAGGTCATCTAATCCAACCCTATGCTCAAACCTAAACGTGTCTAAACCATCTCAGCCAAGCATGTCTACCATGCACTTAAAACTTCTACTGATGGATATTATCTAGAGAGGCTGTGGAATCTCACTGTTAAAATTTGCTGTTTGGTTTGGGTCTGCATTTGTCAAGATACAGACATTGTGTCTTGTTATTCCTTTGTCTGCTGGACTAAAGAACAATCTGTCTGTTATCAGAAATCTTCCACTATAATAGGGACCCAACCTTTGTAACTAAGAATGGTGCCAAGCATCAGTTTGAAAGTCCAGAGCTCCAAAGGTACACAACTAGCAGCTAAATAGGTAATGACTGCAGCAGAACTGAGCACCTTGCTGGTGTGGTCAAAAGAAAACCCCTGCCACTGCTGAGAGAGAGGCAGGGGTGACCAAAAGGGGAAGTAGTAAAGGACCACATACACCTGGCTCCTGGGATGGAACCTCAAACTGGTCCTTGTAAGCTCAGAAAAGGGACTCTGTAGATGCTGCAGAGAAGGAAGATCTGCAGGGAATCTCACAGAAAAGCAAAGTGATTTCTATTTCATGTTTATTTAAGCTGCTGTTTAGGCCAGGAGGCATGGGAGTGGTTGAAAGGGAGCTGGGAGGCCACTGAAGATGCCCAGTGAATAGGCGTGGATTATGTTACTGACTTTGAGAGAGGGCTGCCAGAGGCCCAAGACATTGACAGTGGTCTGCCACAGGCCCAGAAGCTTGGGATGCTGGGCAGAGTGAGGCACCTACACACCCACTCTGTTTTTTGGAGACAGCTTTTTAAATGCGTGCCAATTTACCACCAAGGTGTGGCAGGTAAGGACAGGGTAACATCCCAGAAAAGCAGAATGAGAGATAGGACCAGTGTGGCTACAAAAAGGGGACAGGTCCTGTTATACCAGCCATGTAGGTACTCTGCATTGACTGATTTGCCTGTTAATTTTTTTTCCTGGAAAAACTAAATAAATAGAACTTCTTTATACATCATATACATATTCAAATAAACTAACATTATAAAAGTGTTGAATGGATTGCTAAGTCCATCCATTCCAAGACACCATGAATTTAGCTAATTTCCTTCACAGACACTTGGCTAGGATGGTGTAGTCAGGGATGAATCTGCCTAGAGCAGGTGGCTGGACTAAACCTCATGAGTTCCTTTCCAGCCCTACTTTCTTATGATCTTGTAAGAACTGATCAGCCACCATCACTTCAAACAACTTCTAATTATTGTTCAACACATACTGTTGAACCTGTTATATTTTTAAGAGATGCTACAGACAGAGTGAGCTAACATTTTTGCTGAAATGTAGTCATTTGCATCTAAAAACATTTATTGGATGGAATTTAAACTCATCAGCTCCAAGTCCACCACCACTCATGCAAAATGGATTTTGCTTTCAGTGTACCTCATGCCCGTTAGGATTGCCAGTATGCAGTCCTTATCTAGGCAAGTCTATATGACTACAGTGAACACAACTACATGAGAGTCCTTAACGCGCAGTGGACTGTTCTATACCACATTACTGCATCACAGCAAAAACCATGCTAATGTGCAGTTGAAGTAGCCTAGTACGCATTAAGCATCACAAAAAAGTTCTCCTTGCTACTGCACATTACAGCAGCTACTGTACCTTTATCTAGCACCTCATATTATATTTTATGTGCAGTAGCAAAGGTGCGTTAATGAACATGTAAATACGCCCAGTATTGCCAATGCTGCACATTCATAAATTGTGAATCAAGCCCCCAAAATCATCAGATCCTTTAAAAATATTCTTGTCATTTTAAGCCAAAATGAAGGCAACCAGAGAGGCCACTAACTTATGCTCTACCACAATTCCTTCTGAAGTCACCAATTAGAAGAGCAAGGGGACATTGTGGACTGGCCATGTTTCCCCACCCCACTAGCATACCGGGTGGCTATGGGATAGAAAGAAAGCCAGCATAAGGCCACTGGCTCTGTGTTGTGTGAACCCCCTCCTATGACAAATTCAGTCAAGGCTGTTTCTGTCCTCTTTTCTTCTTTACACCACACCTGAGCACTGCAGTCACAGTCTAACTTGGTGCTTACAGGAGGGTCTAGTGTTTTCAGAGAGAATACTACTCCCATCCCCTGTGAAGGAGCTCGGTGCATAGTACTGACAAGGCAACTAATTATTCCAGATATTCCAGAACAATCCTGAACTTCAAGGCTGTCTCTGAAAACTCCTGAAAATTAGACATTCCTCCCAGACTTGAAAAACTGGTCCGACTGGTGTCAGGAAGCATCCTGGTCAGTTAGCAAACTGTGAGATTGCCCCAAAATTCACTATCCTCAGTCATTTTCAAAGCTGCAAGCAGCCCTCTGTGGCACTTCAAAGGCCATATCCCAGACTTTGTTTCTGAAAGTTACTCTCACTTTTAAGCAGTGAACATTTCAGAATAGGGGTAGAAAAGGCTGCAGTCTCTACTCTACTCCAAATAAGTGCCACAGAAGGACTAGTTTACCAGAGAGCTAACCAACCTGGCAACAACAAGCGTACTTCAAAACAAAGTTCAAAATGCACACTAAAAGTTGAATTTTGGCATAATACAATACTGTTCCACAGAGTTGATTAACACTATCTTTAGGACTGTGAATATGTCCTTCTGACACAATCACCATGCTACTATGCACGTGCCAATGTTAAACAAAGGCAGCCACATAGATGGGGAGGGAGAGAAGGAAACTAACATTTTCAACAATGTAAAAGGAACAAATTGGCAAAAAAACAGTCTTCATCCATCACTGATAACATCCTACCAAGTGAACAAGTCCAAGACAACAGAAACAGTACTAGCGTTTCCTTTTAAAAGGACCCATAATAAATGACCTACTCAAATAAACAAACAAAGTCAAAGTCTTAACTTACCTAGGGAGTCTGTTTTATTTTCTACCGTTTCATTCACCTTTCTTGCAACTCTGGCTACAGCTTCTCCCATTCTTTTCTGCATGCAGACGACCTGTCCCAAACGGGAAGCTCTTCCACAGGAGAAACTGTGACTGAAGAGATAAGAACAGTAAGGTTCCAGTATTCTAACAGTTCACAAAAAGTAAATGCCAAGACAAGTGCTCCCAAAATTTGAGAAAGTAGTAAGATACTTACTTTAAAAGAATGAGGGCTCCCAACTGATAAAGCAGAAGCTAGGTTAGTAGTATATAGGTTCTCTGCCCTTCAATGCAAATGTGACAGGTGGGCAGGACTACCGGTCCTTGGCCACGCCCCCTTCCCCCCGTATGGTGTGCGACTTCACCAGCCCCACCCCTAGCCCGTCACATGATGCATGACATCACCAGCCCCGCCCCCTGAACCAGTCACATGGTATGTGACATCAGCAACTCCGCCCCCACCTCCAGTCACGTGGTGTGTTACATCAGCAACTCCGCCCCCACCTCCAGTCACGTGGTGCAGACATCAGCAACTCCGCCCTCACACCCCAGTCACGTGGTGTGTGACACCAGCATCACATGATCCATGACATCAAAAGGACAGCCCATGCAGACCCCCAAAGCCCAACCCCTCAGGCTGTAAGAACCGCCCTAGACCACGTGGTGTAGTTATGACCTATCATATCTCAGACTGATCTAGCCCCCCACTGGAGCACAGGCTTGGTCTATGGGGTGGTAGGGTGGTGGTGTGACCCCTCTAACAACCTGCCCCACCA